GGGGCGGGAGCGAGCGGCGCGCTGCGGATGGGGGATTCAGTACCCCTCGAGCGGTGCGCGCGGGTGGAGCCAGCGAAGGCGGACTGCCACAGCCAGCCGCCACGTCGCGACCACGACCCGGCTCGGCTCGGCCCCGACCGGCTCGGCCCCGACCCGGCTCGGTCACCGCGGTGCGCCCTCGGCTCGGCTCGGATGGCGCGGGGGACGGGCTGGGCGCCGCCGGGAAGTGATGGAGTGACGCGTGTGGCTGTGATTGAAGCTATGCGAAGGAGGCGGAGGACCGCCGACTCGCCGGTGTAGGAGCAGGAGCAGGAGGAGGAAGAGGACGAGGAGGAGCTGGCCCCGCGCGCCGCCACGCCACCAGGTGAGGACAGCGCGCCCCCGGTCCTCGGCCGTGACCCCCGTGAGGGCATCTCCCCCTCCCCTTACCGCGAGTACTGCAGGGCCACCGGGAGATACCGCGGCCGTTTTACTTTTGCCTCAATGCTTGCCTGCCAGGAACCAATGCCAATGGCTTCTCGTATAGTTCCCAATATACGCAACTCAAATCTCGTATCTCCCGGCTCCCTCAGTCGTCTCTCGTTGGCTCCCCGCTGGCTGCCCGTTGGCTCCCCGCTGTCTCCCGTCGACTCCCCACAGTCTCCCGTTTCAGCCCGAGCGGTCTCCCGCCCGCCAGTTAGTTCTCCCCGGCCCGCACTGCCCGGCCCGCCACGCCTGCCTCGCATGCCCCACCCTCACCCCGCCTACCGCGCCTGCCCCACCTACGCAGCGTGCCCCGCCCGCCCCACCCGCCCCGCCTCGCGCTCCCCGCCCGTCCGGAGCCGCGCCGGTCCCACCGCACCGCCATCCATTTCTCATTGGCCGGATCTCCGGAGGCTCGGGGCCGGAGCACTCCGGCGCTCTCCGGCTGCTGTGGTGTGAATCGGGGGTGGGATGATAATTTGCCCAATTTGGGGGCCGGGCCGGGCCGCCGGGGCTCTCAGCGCTCCATCAAAGCGTTATTGGGGCGGTCGGTGGGAGGGGAGGGGGTAAAAGTGCGAGGCCCGCACTCGGCCCGCACCCGGCCCGCACCCTTGCCAGCAGCATCCCTCCGCACACACGAGGCGCCCGCGCAGCCCGCGCTCAGCCGGGCCGCCGGGCCACGCCTGGTGTTTGAACCCGATTCATTTAGGGGGTTTGAACTTTAGGGGCCCCTCGGCTGACCCACCCGCACGAGCCTCATAAAGTTGCGTCCTTTCGTACTTCTCCTGCCCCGCCCCTACCCGACGCCGCCCTTGCCCCCAACCCTGTACGCCCGCGCCCCGCCGCCGCGCCCCCGCGCTTTTCTACAACCCATAAACGGAACCGGTTCAAATTGGCTCTCCCCGCGGCCGCGCCCCGGGCCGCCTCCGACCTAACGTGCGCCATCGTCACTTCAGCGGCTCACCCCCAGCCCAGGACATTCCTCATTCGATCCTCTTCCAACTTGCTGCCTACGCTCCCATCCTCCGCGCCGCGAGCCTCCCACCAGGCGCATAGAGGAGATTAAAAATTTAAAATGCTCAAGTAAAACAAACAATTCTATCTCTTTAAAAAAACAGTCTTTAAAAAAAGATTATTAAATAAAAGCATTTTTTAAAAAGGAATTTTTGAAAAAGCATTTCTTTAACAAGGGATTTTTTGAAAAGGCAGCCTTCTTGAAAAAGAATCTTTCTTACCAACAATATTTTTGCTATCGTTTCAAAAGTGGCCGTCTTTAGCTGCAGTGGCCACACTGTGGTCCCTGGGGCGTTGGCCGCGCGGTACCGGCGCGGGGGCAGACCCGACTTCATAAAACACAGCACAGAACTTGGTCCTTTTCGCTCTTGCCCCGCCCTGCCCCGCCCCGCCCCGCGCGGCGTGCCTGTCGCCGAGTTCTTCTCTCGCACCACCACCCAGAGTTCTGCCGGCGCCGTGCCACGCTCTGTTTAGAGAGCAGGGAGCCATTCGTTGTGGCTGCGCGCGTGCTGGCCTTGCGCCGCGCCCTGCGCCCCGCGCCGGCAGAGGCAGACCTCTCGAAACATTAGTAAACACGTTCGGCTGCTCTCCCTGCTACTCACAGGGCCCACCGGTCACTCTTATACCGTGTGGCGGAGGGAAGTGTTTGATTATTGTTTATTGTGAGGATGAGGAAGAAGGAGGAAGGATGAGGAATCAGGAGGAGGTCACTGTTGGTATGAAATATGATTCACTGCCCATAAGACTTCGTGTTCAAAATGACTGTGGTCCATACTTAAAAGTCTGTTCACCAGTAGGTACGGGGTGACCAGGCAAATTATTGTGTACCATAGACTCTCCGTACCGTACCAGTGCACACGGGAGTGGGGGATGACGAGTCGGGGTGGTGCAGGATCATTATAGCTCCGACACCTCTGCATGGTGCGACTGCCCTGCAGGCGGTACGAGTGTACGCACGGGAGGTCATGCCCTCCACCCCCACCTCCCCCTGCTGCACCAGTAGGACCACCCCCACCCTCCCCGCTGCGGAGCGAGGTCGGACCCGGGGCGGGCCGGGGCCCGGGCCCTCCTGCTCCCGGGCGGGGATTGCTTTCAGTGTCGTCGTCGATATCGGATGCAAAGGATGACACAAAACTGGTAAACGCACAGCAGGGGAAGCGAGCATAGGACGAAGGGGTATGGGAAAGGGGAAGGGCCGCTGACGCTTGCCGGGCCCGGCTTTAGCAGCTGCTGCCGCAGGCTCCTACTCTGGCATCACGAAATTTACAACGGGATAGCACATGCAAGATGCTTGCGAGGAACAAAGGTTCTCAATGCAAGCGCAATGCAAACTATATTCTGTGAATTGCGAATACCACTATTCAAAAGCATAGATACACGGTAAAATCAGCTCCTTGATATCCAAGGAATAACATCAAGGAACTGTTTTTACCGTGTATTCGAACTGTGGGATGTGTCTTGATTGGAAAGTGAAATTACTTTGGACGTGTTCAACGCAATAAATGTTGTGCTGGGATATTTGAGTCGTGTGCAGTTGTGCGTAAAGTCAATACCACAATGTAATTTCTGCTTCTGTCTGTATGCCACTTGACAGCGCCTGCGGTGGGCTCTGTGCAGGTCCGTCTGGACTTTGGCTGTCCGCACGCGCGTCGTGTTTTTTTGCCAGTCACTTCGATCGAAACGACTCTCCATCACCCTTCCCACACAATCCCTGTCTGTGTAGTGCCCATACTCCCTCCGTTCCCCCAATTTCACAATCGCACCCGCCGCCGGGCTTCTCAACCGGGAAGAAAGAGGCTTTTGGACTGCTGTGCGTACGTTGGCGATCATTGGGGGATTTTTAACCACTGACTTTTTGAACCTTTCTGTTATTTTAAAATACCTTTAAATAACTACTAATATACCGTGTGAAAAATATACTCTTGCCATGTAAGAGACGTGCACGGGACTAACCTGGTTTCCTTCGAGTCTGTTGTCCTCTAGTCTTGTCAGATGTTTTTGTAAACAATAAAAGCTGGTTTCATGGAGCCTGCAGGTCGCTGTGTGCGGCGGCGCGTCCGGCTGGCGGCCCCCGCTGCTGCCCCCCGAGGGTCATTTGGCTCAGCCAGGATCATCGCTATGTGTACGGTCCTAAGTCCAGCCCAGGCGCCTGTAATTGATGAGTTTACTTGTTGTTCTGCTCAAGCAGGCGGAGGGCCGGCCCGGGCGCAGGGGATGCAGGGGGTATTTAGGGGTTAATTCTACACCCCCCACCCCCCCAACCTCATCGTGCCCTCTCTTTTCCGAAAATGTGTTTGCAAAACCCTTCTCTGCTCGAGTGCGGAAGTAGAACGCGTGTAGTCACCAGGATTCGAGGACAACAAAAGGCGACGGCGGCAGGACCTCAGATAAATCAGCAATTAAACTTCGCCGAGAGGCCTAGACGTTCATTATGAGGACGACAGCCTCAGATAAACAGACTGGATAAAGGGGAGGGGGGCGAGTCCTATGGGGTTGTGTTTTTACTCCGATCGTTGTTCGAACATACTTTTTAAAAGTCGAATGTGTGTTTCTTTGTGTAGTTGAGTTTAATCCGTGCCTCTCTTCTGCACTGTTAGTTTGTGTTGGTTTGTGTGCAAAACAGACCGTAGTGACGCCAGCGACTGACGCCCGCTTGACGATGACCAATATGGAAACGTGGTCCGTGTTCGCGATTGTCGGGCTGTGGCGTGGCCGCACTGCTGCGATTGTGTTCCCGCGGGCGCCGGGCGGGTGCCTGTCCGTATTTAGTACTGATGAGGTTGTCCCGTCTGTCGGCGCGAGGCGTTACGTGTTCTCTTTGTCCCGCGTGCGTCTGCCCCATGTCCCCAGCAGCAGAATGTGCACTCTATACTCCCCC